CAAGGGGGGGGGGGTTATCATCCTTCCAGCCCACAGGGCTGGCGCCGGCTGCAGCCCCACCGAGCCCTTTCGCAGAGGAGTGCAAGAAGGTAACGCTGCATTTATCACAGCGCCTGGGTCGTGTGTGTTGGCATCGCTTTGCAGAGATCGGGGGAAAAGAATTTTGAAAAGCATACTTGATTAAAAAGAAAATTTAAAAGGAGAGATCAGCAAAGCACGCCAGCAAACGGCAACCATGGTGGCTCCCGTGGCCGTCCCGCCAGAGAGCCGCGCTGGCGCTGGGAGGAAAGCACAGCCAAGCCACGTTCCCGGAGAACAATGTCTGGCTGCATGGGAGAAAACAGGGAGCAAAGGAGAAGGACTTTCAGCCGGGTTCGTTTTGGTTTTTTTGTTGGTTTTTTTTTTTTTGGTTTTCCCCCACCCCAGACACTTGTGCCAAGAAACCAGACTTTCTTACAAGCTCTGCCAAAGAGTAACTCGGAAAAGCAAGCTTTGTGAAGAGCAGGAGTAAATGTTTGTGCACTAGGATATCCTCCTTTCTACCTTTTTCATATGTATTAAGTGCAATCATTTGAGTCTTCTTTATATTATTTAGAGGGAAGTTTTTTTTTTTTTTTTCTACTAGAAACGACAATATTTATACCTGCCTGAGAAATGAGAATGTGCGTTTGTAACAAAAACAGAAACCACCCCCCCCAAAGCAAACCCAGCTGACAGGCGGGATGCCGTCTTCAGGCCTTGCAACCTTTTCTGCCGCGTTTGTCCCTGATAAAAACTTCTGTTTGGGGGGAGAGATGGTGCTTCTCCTGCTCAGTGTGTGATGGGGTGAGTTTTTGCAGGGGGTTCGAAGCATCTTGGTCCACCCACGGGGTGGCTGTGAGGTTTTGGGCTGATCCGCCATGGTTTGAGGGTTGTTCAAGCCCCATTGCAAGGAGGATGCAAAGCTCGGCCATCACCTGCTTGTCACAAACCCTTTTGCTTCCCTGCAGGGACTCTGGGACCAGCCGAGACCTGGTGGAGACTGGGGGCAGGTCCTGAGGCAGGGTCTGGGGAGGGCCACGCTGGCAGAAGAGGGGAACTGCCGCTTTGCTCAGCCCCGAAATCCCCCCCCAGGTCTGGAGGTCCCTGGAGGGAGAGTCACCCCTCCCCGGCTCCGGGGAAGCTTTGTGCTTCCACGTCACTTCGGGTGTTTTTAGCTCCATCCCTCCGTGTGTGCTCATCCTGCTGGGATGCAGCAGGAGCTCCTTCCCAGGGAGCAAGGCACGGATTTCAGGGGGAACCCCATCCTGCCACCCCACCTGCCTTCCCCCAGCTTCACAGACAGCCTGGGCTGGGGATAGTGTCCGGGTGGATGTCACCGATGGGTTTGTCCCCCCAGCATCTTCACGCAGCCAGACAGGACCCCCAAGGACAAGAGACCGCTGCCACCAGTCATCCCTCTTCCTCCTCCTCAAACCTCACTCCCTTTCCAGCCCAGCCACCGACTCTCGGCTGTCACCTCCCCGCACCTTCATCCCCATCTTCATCCTCTCAAAGACCTGGAGCTGACAGGACTAAATGTGGCCAGCTTGCCTACAGCTTTCCTGTTGGCAGGTCCCCTCCCACCCCTGTCCCCGCTTATCTCTCACCATCCCTTTGACCACATCTGGGGTGAGCCCTGCTCTTAATGAACCAATTATTTATTGCTCCGCACATCCCCCTGGGTCAGGCTTTGCCAAAACCAGGAGGCAGCTGCTCACCTGTGTTTTCCCTCCTCAACCCGTGCTGCCCCAGTGCCCCAAGAGCTTCTTCTGGGCTCTGTTGGAGGCTGCGGGCGGGGTGAGCGCTGGCAAAGGGGGCTGAGGTTTGTCCCCAGGATGCGTCAGTTGGAAAAGTCTGTCCTGATTCATCCCAGCTGTGGAGTTACCCCTCCTGCCACCCGGCTCCCAGCCTGCTTGGAAGCTCAGCATCTGTGGGCTGAGCTGTTTGTCACTTGGTTGGTGTCTGAAAGCAGCTGCTTTGATGCACAAAAGCTGTTGTAGGGATTTGGAGGGGTTTGTTGGAGGTTTCATTTTATTACTCTGGTGCAGTCGCAGCGGAGCACTGACCGTTGAAAGGGTCTTTCATATTTAGAAGAAAAAAAAAAAAAAAAGAAACACAACAGCAAAAATAGAAACAACCCAGGAATGACTATTCCTGCTGCGGTGGCCCCGGTGCGATGCAGCCACTCGTGCTCAGAGTTTATTAATTCTTTGTGATTTAATGGTGGGATTGCTGTCGCCGTGAACCTGTGGGGCACTGGGGCTCCCAGAGCCTCGGGGTGTCCTGGTGGTCACTGCACCAACCACCTCCACTCCCCTACAGCAGCTTTGGAAGGGCGAGGTGGGCAGCACATCCTATAACAGCCAGACACCTGGTAACATCTCCTCCTTTCACAAATATCTCAAACAAACCCCCCCAAAAAAGTCCCCGGGGCCACCAGAACCACCCCACTGCAGTTCAGCCCCTATTCACCCACATCTACAACTTGGAAAGGGTTTGAAAGGCTGAAAATTGCATCACTAGCCACCTCAGATGTATTGAATGTTTCGACACAGTGAACATAAGTAAGGGTCATTGGGGTTTGGGTTTTTTTTTCATGTTGGAATATTTATATCTGCCTTTTGCAGTGGGCCGTGACTTTACCATCTCCAGCAAAAACGATTAATGAGAAAGATGTAGTTCATGAAGTTATTTGCACTTGATTAAAAGAAAAAAAAATGTATCTGAACTTTGTAAAAAGAAATGTTTGCATTTTGTATTGTCTTTTTTTAATTATTAAATGGAATTTCTTGGTGTTGTGTTGATCTTTCAGAAACTGGCTTTGACGCTTATTTTAAAGGTTTCTAACAGCAGGATCCAAAGCTATTTTCATTGTTTTGTTCCCTCGGATGCTAAGATGAGCTCTTTTCAAGGGCATAAGGGTTTTTTTTTCCCAAAAAGCTTAAATCCTACACATTTCCATAAGCTCGCCAATCATTACACAATGTATTTATTTATATATGCTAATTAGATGCAAAAGATCTCATTTTTAGCCCAGAACATGGAGTTGGACAGGGACAAGCACAGAGGGAAGCAGTGGGGATAGAAAACAACTCTTCACCTTGGCCCCAACCCCCTTGCTGAGCTGCAGCTCCCTCCCCACACCTCCCAGTCCTGTAGCTGGGACCAGCTGGAAGCCACCCAAGTCCTCCTGAGCTGCTGCTGGGCAGGACCCCATGGCCCCAGTCACTGGAGGGGGGGCAGCAGAAACCCCTAAAAGCGAGCGTCCCCCAGCCTGCACCCCCAGCACAGCATTACCAGGCTCCTTCCTTCCAAACCTCCCCTTGAATTCGAGTCCCAATCAGCTCCACGCAGCACGCCGAGACGTTTCCTGCCACTCAGAAGCCAGCAGCTCTTCAGCAAACCCTCCCCAAGCTGTTCTGGAGGAACACAATCACACACACAGCTGTTAAGGTGTCCTAAAAGTTTATTGCTGCCCCATCAGTAGAGGCGCTGGGGCTTCCCCATGGTGCTCTTGATGTACAGAGCACGAACGTTCTGCCAGTTCTTCTTCAGCAAGGACACCAGGAAGTTGATGGCCAGGTGGATGTTGTAGACGAGTTCATCCTCCGTCATCTTCACATGACCGACGGCCACAGCCAGGCAGAGCACCTGGGGGACAAGGACAGCGAGGTCACTCACACAGGTTTTTGTGGGGAAATCCAAGGTGACAGCTGACAGAACAGCCCCGTACAGATCTCAACTCATCAGGGCATCAAATTATCTTACGCTCTGTCAGCTGGATGTGACCTCTCCAGCTTATCCACAGGTATTTTTTTCCACAGAACTCGTATTTAGCACGTGGCTCCCATGAACACATCTGGGAGCACAGGGATGCCAGCTCTGACCAACACTCACTTCTGCAGCGGGCCAAGTGGACTCAGAGAAGGCAGGGAGCTCCACTGCCTCCCGGAGATGGGGAAACTGGAAAGGACGTGCAACACACTGCGCTGAACCGGGAGCAGACCTCTGGTTTAACTCCACTCCCACACCCTGCTCATTAGGCAGGGTTGGCATGTGCCCCACAAACCGCTAACCCGGCGCAGAACAGGACGATTAGCTCCAAACTTCACTGCTAAGCATGGCGCCGGCTTCACTTTTTGTTTTGGGCACCAGCCACCAGCCCTTTCTTTCTGTGCATAACACACAGAGAGGCCAAGCCTCTGCCTGCCAGCCTTGCCGACGCGTGCTTGTAAGTCGATGTTCCCCGCAGGCTGAAGACAAAAGGATTTACGAGCGAGCTGACAGGCTAAGTGTCAGGACATCGTTAGCTCAGTTACTTAAAATGCTCCAGCATTTGCAAACCATCACATTTGCTGTGTCCTCCCAGTTGTTGTGCCCCCAGGCCCAGATCAGCTGGACTCCGAGGATGCACCTCCACTAGCAGAGCTGCTAATTCTGAATAATACCCATGAGTCACATTTAGACCACTAACACGAGATTAAAATGCCTAAACGGGGTTATTTTGGTTTTAGGGAGTCAGCTCGCCTTGACATCTCTTGACAGCAAGAGCAGATATCCGCAGAGCTGCTCCAAAGTTCACTTGCAGAGTCGAGTCCCAAACTCGCCTCTGGCAAAGCACAGCTGCATGCCCAGACCCACGGGGGCACGCCTGGCCCGGGGCCCCACACTGCCAGTGTCACCCACTTACTGTAATTTACATTAATTATGACTGATTGTGCTCAGCAATGAAACATCAAGATCATCTCCTAATCATATGCTGTAAAATCATTCAACCAGAAATAGATTACTCCTTCCGAGCCAGCAGCTGAGTGCTCCGGGTAAGTCTCCCTTTGCGCTGTTTTAGGAAGACGCTCGAGGGACACCTACAGCCCAGACCGGAGACTGCAGCCACATACAAGTGACCAACTGTCATAAATAACACGCAGGTATGTAGCTGCCTTGGAGAGGAAAAGCCCTGCTTTACCTTCTTCATCTGAAATTTGATGGTAGATTTGACCTCATCAACCTTGGCCACCAGGTTCTCGTTGTGAGTGAGGAGAGAAGGGAATTTGCCAGCTTTGTTCAGACCTGGACCCAGGATTCGAGGAATCTGCTTGATCAAGGACTCAGAAGCCAGGAAGGCATCGTACTTCTTAGCTGTGAGGAGAGAACCAGTGTGGGCAAGGACAGACTCTCAGCTCCTACACAGAGCTTGAAACTCACTTCAGACGAGAACGCTCTGTTTCCCTCAACACACACAATTTGACATTCTCGGAGTCCTGCCTAGCTGAACCCAAGCTGGTTTTATTGTATTAGACATTACTCCTATCACAACAGCCAAGCCCACCAGCATCCAGCTTCACCCTGACAGCACACTTGTTAGTATACACAGATCAGCTCCCTGAAAAAAGTGGCATTTGAGCCAGAGGTGACCGACACTGAGCTCTGGGCTCTACCACAGCCTGTGCACATCTGGATGGATGGATCTGGCATCTTATGCCATTTCCTAATTGCATATGGTTCCATGGCTAATTATGGACTGAGTTGGAAGTTTTTCTTGTCTGACAAAGACATATATCAAAGTGACTTTGCAGGGAGGAAAGGATTTCATCTCTTATCAAGTCTAAATAAGCAAATTTCATTCTATTCATTAAAGTACTGCAGGATTAATGCAAACTCTCACCTCCAGCTTTACTCAACTTTTGCTGCACTCCAGCCCCCTGACCAGTAAAGTGAGGAACACCAGCTAAGGGCAAAACTTTCAGGTAGACAGTAACAGTTTTCCTATATCCCTTCCTTTCGGAGGAGAGCAACCAACCTTACTCCTGGAGGGCTGACCCAGCAGGTCTTCTGCACTCTTAACAGGTTATTTGCGCTTCTGCAGGGTTTCTATAGGGAATTCTCTACTCAGGCTGACTCTGGTCAGCTTTCTACTCCCTGCAGTTAACCATGACATGGAAATCTGAGCACTGGGAAAAGCCAGGGTACGCTTAGCCCAACCAACACCACCACTCACCCAGCTTCTTCACCAGCTTCTTGTTTTTGTTGAGTTTCTTCAGAGCCTCTATGTCCATGTGAGGGATGTCAACTGCTTTAGCCTCATCGCAGTGCTGCTGGTCCCCCAGCAAGCAGACAGAGAACTTGGGCCGGGGAGTTGACTTCAGCCTGGGGACAGAAAGTCCGAATTATGACAAACCACCAGCGCCACACGCACTTCCATGGGAGCCGTCACGGAGGGACCTTACCACAGCGCCTGGGAATCTTCCTCCACAGCTTCTAACCTGCCTTCTCCAGCAGGTCGGTGGGGAAAGCACAGGGGCGTCCCACACCTCCCCTCATGTTTTAAGACCCAGGGTAAGGGTCCGTCCAGCCACAGCCGCTTAGTTAGGCGTGGTCTGAACTACCCGAGCGGTTCAGCGCTGCCCCCTCCTGCTGCGACAGCCGGCTGGGCCCGACAGCAGCGGGGAGGGCGCAGGCCGAAGGCTGGGTGGGAGCAAGAAGATGCCGAACCTGACGGTGCCGGAGAACCGCTTGTCTTTCTGCGGGTCATAGTTCTTCAGGCTGATCTGCAGCTCCACCGTCTCCACAAACCTGAGGAAAGGGGAGAGGAAAGCGGCGCTGGGGAGAGCCCAGCCGGGCACGGGGAAACCCCGGCCGAGCGCCGGGGCCTGTGCCACGCCCGGGCCCGCCATGGCGCTGGGCTCTTACTTGCGCTTCTTGGTCTTGCTGCCCTGCAGCACCTCCTTCACCGCCTCGTACAGGGTGTCGCGGGAGACCTTGCTGCTGCGGGGGGGAAAGGCAACGCGGGCTCAGGGCTCACCCCGCCCGGGGCCTCCTGCGGGCCGCGGAGACGAGGGACGAGGTCCCCGAGCCCCCCCCGGCCCATCCGCGCTCCCCTCCGCACCCACCCCCCAACAACCGCCCGGGCGGCCCCTCGGATGGCGGCGGATGGCGCGGGGGGCCGGCACACACCTCATGGCGGCGACCGGTCGCGACCGAGAGGGGAGGAGCCGCTCCCGGAGCGGTACAAATAGGGGCGAGATCTCGCGAGACTCAGCCCCGCGGCGCCGTGCCGGGAGCGGCG